CGTTGGTGAGAAGAATAAAAGAAGAAGATGATCACTCTGGGGGAGAAGAAGAAGAAATCCCTCCAGCCCCTTTTTGTTCAAAGGAAAGGAAGTGTAAGAAGAAGAAGAAGAAGGTTGTTGTCGGGAAGTGGAGAAGAAGCAGGTTGTCTCTTTTAGAGGAAGGGAAGTATGGAAGTTTTTCTTATAGTTTTGTTTGTGGGTAAGAGAGGATGTGGATGTGTTTCTGGCTGTGTTTCTAGGGGGAATATAAGTGCAGGGAAGAAGACGAAGGGTGTAAGAAGAAGAAAATGGTTTTCGGCAGGATGTTTTGCAAGAAGAAGCTGATTTTTTTTTATGAATTTGATTTTTTTTTTTTTTTTTGCAAGGGTCCAAAGGATTCTTTTATAGGAAAAAGACAGCTTGGGTAACAAGTTTGCTACAATAGCGGTTTAGGGTCGGACTGGTACGGATTTGATCAGACCTGATCTCTAACCGATTTGACTTTGTTGACTGCCTACTTTGACTTTCATTGACTGTTGAATTTTTGTTTGGGCTTTGACTGGGGCCCAAAATCTTTTATTGTACCATTGTAATTATTGTAATATAATAGCAATTTAGCATTGTAATTAATTGTAATTGTTATGTATTGTATTTATGTTGGTAAAATTGTTATGACTTCTATTTCATTATTTAGAAATTGAGGCCTAATTCTCATAACACCTGACATTTTAGGGATCAATTTTAAACTAAGCGAATGACTAATTCATAATCATATCAATCGAGATTTGCTACTGCAAATCTCATTGAGTCAAACTCCAACACTACGCATCTTAAGCATTAAAATACGACTTTAGCTAAAAGGTAGTTTAAGATTTACTATTGCCTACCTTAAACAAAACTAAAATTATTTAATTACGCACGACTATAGGTGTCAAAACTAAACCCGACCCGACTAACCCGACCCGCAATCCAACCGCAACTTGAATGGACTAAAAGTCAATGACCCGCAACCCGCCCGACCCGCAACCCGATTGACCCATGACCTGATTAACGCGCAACTCAATTAACTCGAACCCCATTGACCCACAACCCGATTAAACCCGTAACCCGATTGACCCAAACCCGACTAACCCGTAACCCACCCGATTGACCCGAATAATTACTATATTATATAAAATTTTAAAATGAAGTTTGTTTTTTGTAATACTAAGTAAAAATATTTTTTCATTTAATAAAGGAAAGTTCAAAAAATGATATTGAGGTGAAATGATGTATTTTTAATAAAAGAAAGAAGAAAGTGATGCTTTGGTTTATAGGAAGAGAAAGAAGTGGGAAATTTTGGTGTTTTCAACTTTTTAGTGAAAAAAAGAAGAAGGAAATTTGGTGCTTAATTTTTTGAGAAAAGAAAAAAGGGGGAGTTTTGATGTTTTGGTTTATAGGAAGTAGGGCTGGGAAAATAGACCAGACCGTTAGAAAAACCGTGGTCCACACCGTACCGCATAGTTTGGTCCGGGCCGTAGACTGTTAAGTATGGTCTGATCTAGTCCATGGTCTGTATTATTTTATGTTTTGATCTCTTGGTCTGGTCTAGTCTAGAGCGCGGTTTACCGGACCAAACCGTGGACCCAACTGACTTGTCAATACGTGTTAATAGCCCATTCGACCACTCTCCCAACTCCCAAAACCACACCCAAGTCTCTACCTTAGTTTTGTGAATCTCGTCCCTCCTTCATTCACAACTACATTTAATGAGAGAGTAGAGATAATCGTGTCTCCATATGATATTATGTTAATGTTTACGACGTTATGGTGCAAGTTGGGATGCTTTTACTTTGTATCTTTGTTATGTACTAAGATTTAGAGTATCAAAATTATTCGTGCATGTTAGGATTAATGTTTTTTTTTTTTGATGAATTGGATTAATGTTTTAACTTTTAAGGCAAATAACAATATTTTTTCTTTGTTATTGGTTCAATTTTATGTGTGATTGACTAAGCAAATTATTCATTTTTCGTTGAGTGTGGTCTATCTGGACCAGACCAGACCGCATAGGGGTGGTCTAGACCAGACCGTATAGTATGTGGTCTGGTCTGTGGTCTATACTTTAGCCTCTCGGTCTGGACCATAGACCGTATATATGGTCTGGTCTGGACCAGACCGCACCGTTTCCCAACCCTAATAGGAAGAGAAGGAAGTGGGAAATATTGGTGTTTTCAACTTTTTGGAGAAAAAAGAAGGAGAAATTTGGTACTTCAAGTTTTGGGAAAAGAAAAAAGTGTGAATTTTGGTGCTTTGGTTTATAGGAAGAGAAAGAAGTGGGAAATTTTGATGTTTTCAACTTCTTGAGGAAAAAAATAAGAGGGAAATTTGGTGCTTCAAGTTTTGGTGCTTTTGATTTATAGGAATAGAAAATGGTGGAAATTTTGATGTTTTTTATTTATGGAAGAAAAATTTGGGAAGCTTTTTATTTTATTTTTTTAAGAGAAAGTAGAGAAAGCTTATCACAATGTTTACGAATGATGGTTTACGAAATTAATTAATTATCGATTTGATTATCACAATATTTACATATGATGATTTAGCAGTGGAACATTTTGGTGACTAAAATATTGTCTATACTCTATAACAAACCTTATTATAGCTTTCAGGCATGACTAATTTTATATAGTAGATTTGAGAACATGTAAAGAGCTATACTTAGGATTGCAAATGAGCCGAGCTGCTTGCGAGGGGCTCGCAGCTCAGCTTGAGAAAAACTCGTTCGAAAATCAACTCGATTTTGAATGAGCTGGCTCGTGAGCCGACTCGTTTGTTAATGAGCCGAGCACAAGCTAGAGCCTCTGCAACTCAGTCTGGCTCGTGATCTATCTCGTTTAAGGCTTGTGAGCTGGCTCGATGGTGTGGCGCGCGAGTTATCTCGAACAAAACTCACAAGTAACTTGATATTGTGGCTCAAAACTTAAGTTAATTTGAACTTATAAGCCAACTTCATGTTATGGATGTGGATCATAAACCAACTCGATTAGCTGCTCGTTATATAACTCTTAGCCTGACATAGGTCATAGGTTGGTTAGATTACATGTCTTTCAACTCATTGTTAGTGATATACACATAGGTTGGTTATAATACATATCTTATGCCGCAATTAGGGATGGCAATGGGGCGGGTTTGTCTAAACCATCCCCATCCCCATCTTCAAATATCCAAACCCATACCCGTCCCATACCCATGCGGGGGAATGTTCGGCAAACCCATCCCCATACCCGTGGATTTTGGGTACCCATGGGTAATACCCGTACCCGTACATCTAACACTATTATCCAAAAATTCACAAGAAAAGTTTTAACTACAACTCTAAACGTACCTATTATATCACGAATTCAACAAAACACGATCATTTTCTTAATATGGTTCAAAGAATATGATCCTAAAACATTCATTAATACATAATGTAGAGTATAATATTTTTCAAATTATTATGTTATAACTCTTATACATCTACTAAGTAATAATTAACTAACATAATCTTGTTGACAAGGGAGAAAGTGAAAGAGTGAAAGGAGAATTGAGGGAAATGACTTAGGTTTTGATTAAAGTGGTCACTCAATTGCATTTCTACTATTTATTTTCTTGAGTTATCCTCATCACCATTGATAGATTATAATTTGATCCACATGTTTTTGTATATGTGAAGAAATTCTCTTGGTGGGGCGGATATGGGTATGGGTATGGGGCGGGGGAGGCTAAAACCATACCCGCCTCATACCCATCAAACTTTTTGCGGGTTTTACCCAATACCCGCCCCATACCCGATCAAAGTGGGAATTACCCGCTTTGACTGGGTCGGGGGCGGTCGGGTACCCGCGGCTATGGGTTTGATTGCCATCCCTAGCCGCAATGTAGTTCGAGACTTTGTATATGTGACTAAATATTCATTACATATATGAATTATGTAAATTATCTTAAATTTTCATCACTTATCAAATATGTGTTAATTATTAAGTAACCTACAAGAACATATAGACTTTAAGGTTCGTATTTGATGCTTAGAGTATACTTACTAATTAATACTATTGTGGGATAACTTACTAATTTATTTGATAATACTATTGCGGGATAACTTATTAATTGATTTGATAATTACCATGGTAACTATTTGAACACCCTATATCTATCAAAAATCACATTTAATTTGATTATGATATTTGTATTCTATTGCAATTATGAGGACGAGTTTTCCAGGTAACTGTAAGAGCTATGGTATTGTACAATCCTGCTCAAGGTTTCGGATCCCTTGATAAGAAGCCAGGACTGGGATTGAAGACATTAAAGGGAAAGTGAGGAGGAGGGGGCCTTGCTGACATGGTGGAGCTCATAAGGTGCAAGCGGTTCATCCATTGTTGTTGTTGCCGCCGCTGTTGATGTTGTTCAGTAGGACAAGTACTGCAAATCATCATCTTTAAAGGCGTGTGTAGGATGGTAGCGGAGGTATCAACAAAATCGTTGTCTGGCGTAGCCAGAATTTTGCTTTAGGGGGTGCCGATCGATTTAAAAAAAAAAAATTGTCTTAATGTCACTTTTTCTAGATATGAAGCTAAACTTAAAATGGTTTACCGGGAGAGATTGTTGTGACAGTACTTGTGTAGTCGAGTTAGAGTTAAATGTAGGTGCATTTGAGGAATTAACTTCATGTCCTTGAACATTTGGAGTTGTTTTAACCATTTTTATCAAGATTTCTCCATGGTAAAATCTACATATTTGAAAAAAACGGAGTAACCAAATAATTAATTGAAAAACTCAATTAGATTGGGACAATAACAATAAGAAACCGCAATGACAATCTCTACCTACGGGTTGAGGCGGTGATAATGGGAATTGGTCAATTGGGATGGGGTGATGCTACCTATAGGTTACCTTTGTAGCGGAAGCCTGGAAGAGAATTTGATTATTAGATTGGTTTGTTATCCTTTCGATACTTTTTGGATAAAAGTATTTGTTTTAATATGTTATTGTCCCAACTCCTAAACGTCCAAGTCCACAAATTCAGTTATAATTTTAATGGGCTCTTTCCAACATACATCTATTCTCCCTTTGTTGAACCCAAAGCAAGGGTGTGCATTGGCACCCCTTCTCCTGTGCCAGCTACGTCCCTGGGCAGTGGACACAACAAGCGTAGGTTTGAGAATACTAGACTTCTTCCCGCCAGCAGCTTGGCGTCCATCCTCGTTGTTATTGTTGTCTACTTCATCATCCTCTCCGCCTTCGTTATCATTCCAAATACTAGACTTTCCCAACGACATCGCCAGACGACTTTGACGAGTTCTCCTCCCGTTGCCTCGAGGAGTTAATAATAATTCTCGTTTGGAGGAGTGGTGGTACTCAAATCGAATAAGGGGGCAGTCTGCATCTGTTTTGTGATTAAAGCTTTGGATTCTTATACCACATCGTTGGAAGCTATATCCAACGCTTCATCCCTAGGGATGGCAACAAAACCCGAACCCACGGGTACCCACCCGACCCAACCCGGTCAACGCGGGTAAAATCCGTATTGACGGGTTTTTGGTTGAGTTTGGATTTAAACCCGTTCATTATTCACCGGGTTGGGTTGAGTTTGCGTTTAGGTAAACTCGCCCCATGGGTACCCGCCCACACTCATATAATTAATTTGCTATGTATATTTAATATTCTAAACAACTAATCTTATTTACGTTTGTGGAGACATGTCCAATTTTTTCTTTCCAATTGTGTAGAATGAAGTTGATGTTATCGAGTGGAGAGTAGAGAGTGAAGAGAACTTAATTGAAAGGAAGAAGCTTTCAATTAATCATGTTATTTATGGATAATTTGTGATTTGCTTCAATTTTCTTGAGTTTTCTAGATTGGTATTGAACAATTTGTATAGTTAATTTGTGATTTGCTTGAATTTTCTAGAATGATGTTTTATATATGGATAATTTGTATTGAGAGATTGATATTTGACTTTAATTTTGATAGGAACTTGTTATTGTAAATTTTTTACGACAAAAACTCGTGGGTACCCATGAACCCGCGGATACCCAACGGGTTGGGTTTGAGTTTTTCAAACCCAATGAGTTTTACCCCGAATTTTTTTCACGGATAAACCCATGAGTTTGGGTTTGACAAAACCCGACCCAACCCGACCCATTGCCATCCCAATTCACCCCACCTATATAAGAACGAGTGCATTCCTTCAATAATTTAAGTGGGGAAGAGCCCAAGAAGTAGTCCTTTAAAATATTCTACAAGCTTTGGTGTTTTCTAGCCCAACGATGGCTCTCTTTTGGGTCATCATTGAGTATGCTTAATTGAGACTGTTATTGGGCTTGAGTGAGCTTGGTAGGTTTGGCTCGTTAAGCTTGTTAACGAGCTAATATTGAGTCGAGTTCGAGCTGTAATTTTTCTTCGTGAGCCGAGTTTGAGCTTGAATTTTAAAGCTTGTATAGAGCTGAGCTCGAGCTAAGCTCGAGCTGAGGATCTCAATGTCGATCTCGAGCCTGAGTTGGGCAAAATCTCGACTCATTTGCAGCCTTAGTTATTCTATCTCAAATGTATTTTATTTCACATTTAGGTTAAAAACTTAATCTTACTCACTAATTCTCCCACCTCATTTTCATTTAGGTGGAACTTTCCCCCTCTTATTTTGATATCTTCATCCCAACTTTTCACTTCTCCAATGTTTCCCTCTACAATTTGTCCCTACCAAAATGAAAATTTAATGAGGGAAAATTTCTTCCAATTTGGCCCACCAACGTTTCAATTCCTTTAATATTAAGCCCGATTTCCATCTCTCATAAACAGTCATTTATAATATTAGTGTCTTGTCTAGATTTTGCGTATGGATATTAATTTGGATTATTGATTGACAACGACTTGCAAAAAATTTCCATGATCTTTGATTCGTATATTTTTTTGTTAAACAAAAAGTTTATACTTCACTGAGAATTAAGCTTGTAATTTATTAAATATATAATTTATGTCTGTTTTTGTTACTCAATTTTGCTTCCCATTGCATTACCACCAAATTTTATTTTCGCTTGATATATATTGCCGCCCAACTTTTTCATTCCCTCTTCAAAAGGCCGCCCAATTTTCGTTTGGATTGATCTATATTGCCACCTAAAAATGTTGAGATAAGAAAAAAGCTGTGTTGTGAAAATAGGGCCGAACCGGCCGGTCAAACCAATAAAAACCGGAGCCGGACACAAATCCGGCCGCGGAAGTATAATTATGGGCGAGCTTTGGAAAATTACACTGCCGCTTACCTTTTTGTTATTTTTTAATTAATAAATGATGAAAATAAGGAAAGAAGGTAACGGGCAGATAATTAGTAAGCATCTCCCGGCTCCCTGCATGCACCTATCTTTGAATTTGATTTTTTTTATTCTTACTCTATATTTTGTTCTTTTTATTTGAAACCAACCACCGGTTTATGAGCGGTTTTCAATAACGATTAATCAACGGTTATTCGATAAACGTTAAACCTCTCATTAATCTGGATCGATGTCCGGTTCGGTTTTGACAACACTGGAAAAAGTGTTTTTCTTCTTTGTTTTTTACAGTGGCGTTTTGTTTTGTTTGCTAATAGTGTCTATTGGTTGCAAATGTTGATATCGCCATTACTATTATCTAGTGCACTTTAGATTGATTACATGACAAGTTTGCAAATCATACAAATTGATTCAACATTTTGACTAGTTTTTTTTTAATTAAGTATAAATATGAGGTAGAGATAAGTTGGTGAAAAATTGTGAAAAATATTTTAAATTAGTGTAATAAAATGTGTAAATTGGTAGCGAGTAAGGAGTAAGTAACTAGATGCGTTGTCCCGAATAACCCGCAACCCGATCTGCCCGCAACCCGCCCGACCCGAAACCCGATGAACCCGCAACCCGATTGAACCCGAACCCGCAACCCGACTAACCCGAACCCGATTGAACCCGAACACGATGGAACCCGAACCGATGATCCCGCAACCTGATGAACCCGCAACCCGACTAACCCACAACCCGATTGAACCCGACCCGAACCCGCTTGATTGACACCTATACGCACGACTCTCAAATTAGAAAATCTCTTAATATGAGATCAGGTTTAATTAAATATATGTTCTAGCCCGGAAAACAAGTGGTGTCTACTATAACCTAGAAAAGTTTAAAATAGATCATATAACTACTAGATTTCTTTATAAAATTTTGAAATTGAACGACTAAAGATATATCATAACAAACATAATAAAGTAGCACGTATCACACATTTCCACCTCACACTTTAAAATGGACATTGTCCATAAACTTGTCTCCCCAAAGTAGATCTTCATCGTAATGATGATATGTTGCATGTAAGGAATCCTCGTATAGATCCCGTCTTATCTTGATCTCTATCTCTGGCTCTTCATTTTTCTAGAAATCATCATCATTGATGGGTTGATTTGTATCCTCAACTTCAATAAGCATCACTATTCGATGCATGATCTCTCTCACTTGTAGTGTGATCTCTATTTTGATGCATAGATCATAGCACCTGCAGGTGGCAGTGTCCATAAATGGTCTACCAAATATCAGGGAGTACATGGGATCTTTATCTCCATCTTGATCACCACATAGTCTAAAAAGATGATGAATGGCACGGTTTGGGTGCCCAATCCTCGAACTAATCCAAGAGATTAACATGGAGTGTTTGACACGCTACGACACAACAACAAATTGCGACCAAGTGTAATCGCAGTCCGGGAATGTAGTAAAGTGGCAAGTCTAATTATCAACCCGGGGTCTAGATCTACTGCCTACTCCGTGATTATCTATTATCTAGCAAACTAAGTCGATTGGTTTTGGTCTTAACTGAAAGCAGAAAGAAAGCAGGAATTGATTCAGTTTTCTGAAGCAAAGGAAGAGTCACTCGGGAATGAGTCCCCCTAGCTCCTTAGTTAGGTCTCAGTTGTAATTACCCTGGGTTGATTTACTGTTGATTTAACTGCGAAAGATCCGATAGTAGATTGGAATCTCTTAAGCTGACCAAGCCCTCTCAGTCTAACTACCCGGCAGACGAGTAGTCTTCACCGGGATAGAAAGCTGAAGCAATAAGCACAAAACTCCGCTACTGGAATTGGATTCCAGTACAAAGCAATAGACTGGCTAATTCTCGTATAACCAATCCACTACTAACGAATGATGAAGCTCTAACAACCTAATTAGATTCTATCTATCTCAGGTTGCAGCAGAAATCAAGAAAAGCTGATCAGACTTCAATTAATTCAATGAATCATGCATCATTCGATTAAAACCAAACAGTATAGAAATCCCAAGTCATTACAATCATAATCCCTAACACATGGAACTAGCGTTCTTCATACCCAAGTGAGAGAAGGGTCTACTCCATAGAGAGAGAGAGAGAAAAAAACAGAATACAAAGCAGTCATACTCATAACAATGAGAAAAATCTGCTCTGGGATGATGATTTTCACTCCTATGATGATCTCCAAGCTCGATTTGATGAAACCCAGCTCCAAGATCGCTTCTAGGGTGTGTTCTTTGCACTTTCTCTCTCTAGGGCTCTGTTTTTGCTCTGAAAAGTCGATCCCCTCTCTTTTGGCTCGAATCTGCCTCAAAAATCCGATTCTGGAATTACGGGCAGAATTACGGTCGTAATCATGGTCTGCCCGTAATTGCCCAAAACGCGCGTTTCACTTGACCCGGAAGAGAGGATTTACAGTCGTAATTTGCCAATTACCGCCAGTAATTACTGAATTACGACCGTAATTAAAGTGACTCTTGCCCGTAATTGACTCTGCGACAGGAATTCTGGAAATTAGGCTCGGCATTGAAATTACGGGCATGCCAGGAACAATTACGACCGTAATTGTGCAGGGGCTGCCCATAATTTTCCCTTTAAAACGCAACCCGACCTCCAAATGACCCGAAACTTGCGCCTATGCACCTCTTTACTTGCTAGGACCTGAAATACGCCAAAAAACACAACCTAGCGTAAAATAGGCCAAGGAACAACAAATTCGAGCTAAAATGGTCAGGAAACAAGGGTGAAAACATGTACAAATACGATGCTATCAGTGTTATATGCTAACTTGATATCCATATTAATCTCATCCATGTCCACAAGACCCATATGTTCATAGAGTGGAAGTGGTAGGATGTTGATGCTAGAACAAATATCCACCAATCATTGCTCTAGATGATGGTCATCTAGGAGACAATCGATCATGAAATGACCATGATCCTCCTTTTACTCGTATACTCGAAAGAGTTCTTTATGTTCATAAGGAGTT